CGATCAGCCAAGACTGGGCTCCTGTCGTCGTCCGCAAGAAGGCCCCGAACGCGGCCGCGAAGAAGGACGAGAAGGCCGTCAACGCCGCTCGCCGGAGCGGCGCCGATATCGAGACTGTAAAAAAGTGTGAGCGATTCGGAAAACCCTAGTTCTTCTTCTTTTACTTGAGGATTCGGTTAGCTTTTATCATTATTTTACTTGTGTTTTGATGATGGTTGGCAAAAGTTTTTAAGTGATGAGAAAGATTTTGCAAACAGGGAATATAACTTTGATATATTCTTGATTATTGTTCATTTTTTTGTGTTGATTGATATTTTATTCTCATTTTTAATATAAATAACTTGAAATTGCAGAAAGCACACTTGAATATTTTCGATCATATGCAATAGTTGCAGTACAATATCTGTTTTGCGCATGGGTTAGAAGCTTTAGTTGTTTAAAATTAAAGTTACCGCTTTTCTGATGTGCATATTTTTTCTGTTTGTTTCTACTTGTATTTGTGTGTGGCTTTGCCGTTATCATTGATTGAAGAGATAATGGGGCTATAGTAAAGTAATGCCAATTTGCCCCTTCCATTATAGGTTCTTTAAATCCAGAATAATCAAGAAAAAGTTGCATTGCACCTCGTACTTCTTTTCTTTGCCCTTGTTCTTTTCCCTAGTAATGTGCACTGAAGAATGAAGATAGTTCAGTTGTGAGTCTTGTGACAATCCTTTTGTAGTCAGGATAAAATTTGTGAACTCTTTTGCCCCCTTCAAAAAAGAAACTGTTTATACTTTAATGAAAATCTCCACAATACATCCAAACAACAGATTGGCTAAACTAACGGAGATGTAAGGAGATTTAGGATGGAGGCCAATCAAGAGAAATGGTGCCATTTCATTTCACGGGATCGAAGTTCATTATGTTGTTCACAGGAACCACTTTATCACCATTTTTAATCATAGTATTAGATTTAAGAAGGTTGCTATTCAATCAGACAGATTAGATAGTGATCATAGTGTGCTACCTGTCTTATATTTTTGTAGATGCTCAGTTACAAATCAAGATCTTTAAATATGTTCTACAGAACTAATTAATAAATAAAATAAACTAAGAACAAAAATAAGTGTTGGATCCAGGTGTTTCTGATGACGTTCATGTTTAAGGGTTAACAAACCTGATAGAAACCTTTCTAGGGTAAGGAACTATATGAGTTAAAATGAAACCATCCATAAATGGCTAAAGTTGAATTATGAAATTAGTAATTCATCTCTAAAACTCTGAAACTGAGCAAATGTTATCGACTATTTTCGCATTTTGACTATTACTATGAGACTATTTTTATTTTAACTTCTTTTTGTTTAAAACTTTAAATAATTAACTAGAAAGAGAACGACTGAAATTTTTATTGTCCAGTGACAAATAACTAGTTATGAATATTGAGAGGAAGAGATGATGAATCGGAGAGAATGTTGAATAGGAAGACAATAATATACGACCAGGAAGAAATGTAATGAAGTGGATGGGAAGTTCTGTTTTTTATTTTTAAATTCCATGTAATAGTCTTCTAACTGAATCCTATGTTCCTAACTAGTAACAACCAAAATTTGTATCCAATAATAATAGGTAAATGAATATGTTATCATCCTTGCTTAAACCATTTTGCATCAAAATGAGGGGCTGAGGGAGCCAAGTGCCCCTGAAAGGTTTCGCAAAGTTTTGTGACCGGTTGTCATCCTGATTCAACCTTTTCTTGGTAAGCGCTAGATTCATTATTAGTAACTGTTGAAATAGAGAAGCATGTATGGTAATCCTAAAGTGTAGTGAACATCATCCAAATTCTATTAAACTGAAAAAAAAGAGCCGAGGAGATGGGGTAGATGATAGGTTTTCCATGGTTACAACTCTATGAATGAAGCCACAATTTGAAGAAGTCGACACATCAGTTTGCAATTACTTTTCCAGTGTTATGTGTCTCTCATGTAAGAGACTAGTGTACCGTTCTTTATTTCTTACTGCTGGAACCTTAAAGAACACCACCACCACAAAACCAACCCAAAAAAGTCTCTCCACAGTTGGCAATCCAATCCTCACCAAATGCCTACCGTAGATTGTGCATATTGGTGATATGAGGTCCAAGGAATAAAATGAATTCATTCCAATCAATGACTTATACATATTGACTTGGATTGAGTTGCATCTCTCAACGACAACAGAACCAAACTGTGTCAACTTGAGCAATATCTCCCATGACATGGAGCAAATGCCCAAAATTAGTTAGAAAATGAAAATAGCTAAATTAACCAATACTGACTAAAAGGTAGATAAGTGAAACCAATCTGCATCAATAAGACTTATTATAGACGCATTCTATGTTCTGCTTGCTTAGCTTTCGTGAATTCTCTTAAAAACTCAATTTTCTTTAAAGTTTTTGAATCTTAGTTTTCTATCTCCTGACTTCTCAATTAATGGAAAGCTTTGATTAGCAAACCAAAATCTTGCTTGAAGCTCTGATGTTAACGTCGGGAATTGACAGATCCAGGCCCTCTTCTTGACTTTTTTCCACATGGATGAGGAGGTCCCACTCTTCAAGAGGTTTATTTTGGATCCGTTTGGACCCAGAATTCACTCAGGTTGAATGTAAAAAACGGCTTTGTGGATTTCCTGCTTGTGGAGTGCTTTCGACGGGGTGGCTGGAGTATCTAGTAGCCAGATAATAGTCATGGAGCAGCCATCGGAAACTTATAACACGCGGGAAAACATGGGCCAAATCTTACACACATATCCATAAGCATATATTCTCATCAAAACAATTAGAAGGGTCTTAGCTACGCCATGCGTTCAATGCAAAAAAAAAATCCTCTAGGAAGCTGCAGGGATGACAAAAAGAGGGCGCTTTCCTGTGTTGCACTGAAAAAAGGACCTAAGAGAAGACCTTCCTCCGGCGCCTGCTTTTGCTTATTGTCTAATCACACGTCTTTTGTAAACAAATATCCTTGTTTAAAGTTGTGAATTAAAATGTCGTTTCCTCAGTTACATTTCTGGTTATATATTGCATTGTGGAATGATAGATTAGATAAATTTACATATTTTTTGTTGTTTATGAGATTGCCAAATTCAAATTCTACCTTAAAGCTCTGATTTCTGTTTTGATTTTTACTTGGTGGTATGATAGATTTGATAAGTTCTCGTTCTTTTATTGTTTATGCCTCTAGAATGCTGTGTACTGTTTATGGCCGCTTCAGTAATGTTATGGTATATATTTTTCTAAATTTTCTGCATGTTTTGCCAATTTTTTTGTAGCTACTGCTGGCACAAACAAAGCTGCTTCAAGCAGCACATCACTGAATACAAGAAAGCTTGATGAGGAAACAGAGAATCTTGCTCGTAAGTTACTTCTGCTCATACATTAGTTTTATCTGACTTAGTAAATTCTAATATGGATCTAAAACATTCTTTGTATTCATAACTGTGTGCATTGAGATTGACATTATTCATGGTGGAGATATAACAAGTCCAGAGTCATTGTAAATGCTAAAACACAGCTCTCACTTGTGTGGTTTGACAAGTACTCTTGAACATATACGGAAGGTGGATCACTCAAGTATATGCTGCATTCAGGTGATACGCGTGAGAGATGAATTTGCGCCTAAGAGCACTCCTAATGGAATAGTAACTTTCAGAGTCAGTATTTTCAACTCTAATTCTGACTGGAAATCAAATGCAGGCTGTAGTCAAATGGCCTAAATTGGTTTCGGAGGTAGGGATGGTAGTCTGATGGCCTGCCTCACCTAGCGATCAGAAAAAAGCCTGGCCCAACCTGGCGCTCTCAAAATAGGGTAGGGATGGGGCTTAACGGTCTTGATCTATTCAATTCTGGGGGCTGCATGTCATAAGCTTCAGCCCCAGTTCTGTTCGAAGGAGGAAGAGTTAGTCTAGTGCTCAAGCCCATCAAACTTTTTCTTGACTAAACTACACAAGCTAAACTAAACTATGTCAAACTCTCCTGCAAAGTCTCTTTGGTTGGGTAAAAAAGTGAGAAAGTCTGTTACTTTTCGTTATGCGATTTTAGAATGTGTGATCTGATAACTTTAATAATTATTCCATATATTTTTAGTAGCCAAGTGGCAAAAATTTTGAAATATTTCTTTGAAAACGTTTGGTTGATACTGTTAAGAGTGTTAGTTCACTATTCTTCACTATTCTTCATCTCCATAAATAATGATGTCGGTCCTAAGGCCATAAGGATATGATTGGGTTAAGGCTGTGTCAGGCTTTAGTTTAAGCCACAAATCTGTAGTTGGTGCTTTCCAGGTACCTGTCCTATTGCCATATCTATTTAGATGATATAAGGCTCGTTGGTATGTGGGAATAAATGGGAATGGAAATCTCATTCACATTTCTCATTCATGCGTATCAAACAAAATGTCTTTCTGGAAGCTAGAATTCTCATTCTCACTTCTCAATCATTCCCACTTTATGTGGGAATAGGCATTCCCAATGAGATGGTAGGGAATAGGCATTCCATTTAAGTGGGAATAAAAAATTGAACTAAATTCCAAATATGTCTTGATTGCATATTAATTACTCATACTACAACTAGAAGAGATTGTTATTCCCACTTAATTTGTTGATCACACCCAAACGTAAGAATGGAAGGGAGCATTTCATTCCCACACTTTCTCCATTCCTTTGTTTATTTGCATTCTTGACTCATTTACAGCGTACCAAACAACATGTTAGTGGCAGTAGGGTTATAAGAGGTTTTGGCGTTAAAACCCACCAAGATGACTTTGATTAAACAAAATCTAGCCGGTTAACCTTTTTAATTTCTGTGACTCGACACTTTCTGAAACTAGCTGAAACCATGATTTCAGAGAACAAAACTGTGACAAAAACTGAGTTCTTAACTGTTGATTCTGGTATTGAACAAAATTTACACCAACTTCAACTTGAAGCAGGGTGGTCTCTAAATCAGTTCATGTTTCATCACTTTGTATTTTAGGCATATGTTGTGAATAATGTGGGATACCATATAACATGGGAGGTTTAAACTGTTGCAGGACTTTGCATGCTGACCTGTTAATATGTAACTTGAAAGTATTGGTGTGTCAGGAGACAAACCTTAAGATATGCATGCTACGTCTCTCTATGTCATTACATTTGGCTTCAAAATTTTGTAGTTATTGGGATATTGATTGGAAAGGATCTCATTGATAGATATTGATCATCTAAAAGGTTGATTGTCGAATGAAAAACAGTCCCTTTGCTATGTATTTTCTTTCCGTTTTGCCTAGAGCTACTCAACATGGTATTGCATTACTGTGACAGTGTGTTCTTGCATATGCATGCACAATGAAGTTTGAAACCTTAATAATCCAAGAAATAGTTGGACGTACACACGCATGAAGTGTGTTAGATAGAAGTTTTCAGAAAATAAAAAAATGAAAATGCGAGGAAGAGAAAGGGGTTCATTTTCATCTTGCATTTTTTTATTTCCCCTTTTTATAATTGTTTGTTTCTAGTTGTCTTTAAGTTGCATTTGTGCATCTTTTGTGTGTGTCTTGTGTATGCTGAGATTTAGTAATAGAGAACAGGTTGTGCATGTATTAGTTTTGTTGGTTAATTTTTTTTTTCAATAATAGGAATATAGATGTTTGAAAATCCTTTACTTGCATCTTTCTCTGTTATCCTATTGCCACTACCAATTTTAGATAGCTAATAAATATCTCTGTTATCCTATTGCCACTACCAATTTTAGATAGCTAATAAATATCTCTATTTTTTCCCTGATGTCTGAATTTAATGTTCAACAAGATGAACGAGTGCCAAGTGAGTTGAAGAAAAATATTATGCAAGCACGAATGAACAAAAAGTATACCCAGGCCCAGCTCGCACAGGTACTTTTCTCTCTTCCCATTTTGTCTGATTTTTGGCTACTAAGTTTATGCTAACATACATTATTCTTGTATCAGTTGATCAATGAAAAACCCCAGATAATCCAAGAGTATGAGTCAGGAAAAGCCATCCCAAATCAGCAGATCATTGTCAAACTGGAAAGGGTTCTCGGAGTTAAACTGCGAGGGAAAAAATGAGCTTGTCTTGTTACCTTGCTGTGAAATAAAAAGTAGTACTACGCTAACTTTGTACTATGGAAAGTGTGTGTTTGGAGCTTGTGAAGACTTGGTTTGTTGAATCCTTAATGAGTGTTTTGGATTTTATATGGGATTGTGAAATTTTCTGTTGTCTTTGTTGAATGACTTATAATTTTCTTCTTGAGCTTGGTGGATTGTGTTATGCTATTCTTGGTGTCCTTCAGTTTTTATCTTTTAAACGTTTGGAAGAGTAGTATCAGCTCCAGATATCATTGGAGAAATTCATTCTGCAGAAATATTAGGAATTGTAAATGAAGAGACGCATAACATGCTTATAATAAAATGAGATGGTAAATTTGTGTTATTTTTTGGAAACCAATATTGTTGAAACTAATTATATTACTTGTGTTTGCATGTGCATGAGTGGTTGCATATGTGAACGGGAGTTCATGATCCACGGGGGTGTTCATGCATGGGTGAATATATGGATGTGCACATGACCTTTTTTTCTCGAGAAACAGATTAATGTGTTCATGCATGGGTGAATATATGGATGTGCACATGACCTTTTTTTCTCGAGAAACAGATTAATGTCTTCATTATAACTCGTTTATGAATTAGTTCATGGTTAGAAAATAATTTATTGCATGAACTCATATCATGTTTTTAAACCTCTACTTGATGATGATAAAATGAAGATAACATTTTGTAGACTAATATCAAACTTGATAATACATTGAATTTAGTTATGCCTTACAAATTTTAGAACTTTAATCTAAAAGACGTATCAAAAAATCTTACTTATAATTTAGAACTTCAATCTAATAAACATATTAGATAACTTTTATGCTATATAGCAAATGCATATTAAATTCATTCTTAACAAAATTCACATGGGCGCAACAAAAGAAGTTTAGTTATGTTGATGTACTAATGATCACACAGTCAATTGAATCCGTGGTTGGATGGGTTGTAGAGTATTGACGAGGGGCCGCTTTCTTCCTTGATTTTATGTCTAGTTCTTTGAGGAGGGTTGATGAATCTGCACAAGTAGAAAACTCGTGATGGGATGGGGTTTGGTTCCCCCGTGGTTCCTCCGACTATCAAGTTAGCTGACGAACTTGAGTGGGGAAAGATAAAGAACTGTGAGAGTTCTTTGTGTGTGCAGTATGTCTACTTAGAGATCAGGTTTAGATGAAGATCAAGATTTAATTGATCGATCTTTCAGTCCTGATCAAAGATGGAATAAAACCTTCATTAATAGGGGCACTAGAGGGGTAGATCAGTCACTTCGGCTAAGAAGAGGATGGTGGTGGCAAAGTGTGGGCTAGCGGCTAAGTCAGCACATACTTTACAGGTGTCGGCTGACGACTGGATGAGCGATTAGCTCAGTATTAAATAGGAAGTGATCGGAGATATGGCGGTGCATACGTGGTCTGATAAGTCATGAAGGCTGTCAGGGCTAGAGGCGTGACGCGCCTGTCATGCATTAAATGCGATACTGACACGTTGTCAGTGGGAAGAGGCTCGAGGCAGAAGTTATCTTTTAACTTCGCCGAGAGGTAACGCCTTTCGAGTCGTCTCGCGAGGCGTCTAGCAAATGGTCGAGTGGGCTCGTGGCGAGTCGTCTTCGACAAAAGGGGGCGACAAGTACTGCCTTTTGAGTCGACATAAGGGAATGTCGACTCGACAAGTTGGCTGAGTTGTCGTCCCTACTGGTTCCTGGCCGCCAACTTGATTGGGGCATGACATGCAATACACTTGTCCGTTGTTGGGTTGTTCATGTTATTTGGCGACTGGGAACACCATAGCAGTTGGCCCCTTTCGCTTGGAGTCAGTTTGAGCTGGGTCCAAGTGAAATCAAATTAGCTTTGGATGGATGTGGGCGTGCTTTGAATGAGAAATTGACAAGTCTCTTCAGATTAGATGTGGCTGACATCACCATACATTCCTTTTGGCTGTCACAACTTCGCTTTTCTTGGCAAATTGCAGGCTGTTCGAGGTGAGTGGGCTGCGCCTCGATCACAGAGAGGGTGCTTCGGATTTTAAGAATTAACCCTAGCCGTTGAACAAGGATTGATCCGACCGTTCGAATTTTGACGGTTGTAAAGACAGCTTCCTATATATAGGAGTAGGGCCATAAGGGTGGCAGTTATTGTCTCTTCAAATTTCCTTTAGAGAACTCAAGACCTTCTCCATTCATCCCTTTCGGCTATCATCTCTGCAATCCTCAATGGCATCTGATCCTGTTGATCGACAAGCCCTCTTGATGGGGATTCACTCCAAGGTGACTCTGGCCCAAAAGAGGATGATCCATAAGAAGTTTGATGTCCCTGAAGAGTATGAGCTGTTCGCCCCGACGAGGTCGGAGGCCATATATGATCATGGGCCGGAGCAGGGTCCGATCTACTTGAGGCATCTGGAATTTAGCCTGCGATTGCCTCTGCATCCCTTCCTCAAGAAAGTATTTACAATGCTAGGGGTATCGCCGACGCAGATGAAACCAAACACCATCGTTATCCTGGTGGGGTTCATGGTGATCTGCCACTGACTAGGGATAAAGCCCGCCTTGTGGGTCTTGGGTCGGTTGGTGGTTGTGAAGTGAACCAAAATGAACCCTACTTCCACTTTCAGATGGTGGGGAAATTCAGGCTCATCACCGGCCTTCCAGACTCGCATAAGGACTGGAAGGAGAAGTTTGTTTGGGCCGTGGGGTACGACCTGGAGCTAGGCTACTCCGACTAGCCTGAAATAAGAAGGGAGTCGCTCATGGGCAGTGAATTATCTACGGACGAGAGGGAGGCGCTTGACCCGATCAAGTCGTACGTCGGCTCTCTTCGAGTCTGCTTGACAAGTAGGTCTTGCGAGTTGTCGGCATGTCGGTCGTGCCTGCTACCACCCAGGACCATGAGAGAGCTTCAGCCCTCGTCATAGGGATAGTTGAGGTGACGTTGGCACCTACTTACTATTCCTTTGGCTGCTCCTCAGGGGGAGTCATCTGCCAGACCTGCGAAGCATCTTCGTCGGGACATTCCTCAAATAGAGGCTGAGGTGGCCGAGGAGGAGGATGCCCTAACCCTTGTCCATAGACAAAGGAGGCGGCCCCGAGGGGAAGATGAGGAATAGAAGGCACGGGTGGCGGCCGAGGTGACTGCGACCGAGGTCATTCATCTGGATGAGTCGACCTCGAGAGAACCACCCAAGGCTCCTCAAGGAGAGGGAGCCAAGACCAGAGCTTATGCTGGCGAAGCGGAGCCATTCGCTCATCATGCCGAGTTGTCCTGCCGTGGGAAGGAGCCGACTGAGGAAGAGACGGAGCCTTCCACAGGGCTAGAATAACTCTCCCCCCCATCGTGTTGATGAGATCGGAGAAGAGGAATGGAAGAATATGAGCACGTATCTCATTAGGACTTCAGGGGTCGGTTGACGATATGTGCGGGAGCCCGACCCCGAGTACCGCTTTGAGGCTGCTCACAATCTTGATGTCGGGGGACCGTCCTCGGCTCTCGCATGGGCCAGTCGAGGTCAGTTGAGCAATTCTACCTTCTTCAGGATGGCGAGTTCTTGAGGGAGGTTACTGTAAGATGTCCAAAAATTACTGCAGATAGCTAATCTCCACAAAGCATAAACGATGGAGGTTACAATCTGACAACCTTCCCAACGACAGATAAAAGTTACAATTTGATAACTTTTGTAATATACGAGAGTTATAAGTTGACAACTCTCATATTTTAAAGAGTCAAATGCAAGGATTACAAGATGATGATCTTTGCAGAACTTGAGAAAAGAGATTACAATTGACAATCTCTTCAAGCCCAAACACGGAGCTCATCGTTGCATTCCATATTCAAGACGCAGAGCTCACCTCTGTGTTCCAAGAATAAAACATGAAGCTCCTTACTTCTTTCCAAACTTAAGACATAGAGTTCACATACACATTCCAAGAACAGAACGCAGGGTTCACCACTGCATTTTCAAACCCAAACGTAGAGACTAACTCCACGTCCAAAGTTCACGACGCAGTCCATTCCCAGAATGCGAACTTCGCATTTGACTCGTTCAAACACGAGTTGAACGGTTCTAAAACCATTTTACATGATCTGAGGGGATTACAACCCCACTAAGTAGCGGTTTTAGGGGTTAGTTACACCCCTAAAACCCCTATAAATAGCTAAAAAATCAGCTTAAAATGTATCTTTGGATCATCTGGAGACTGAAAAAAGATCTTGGCAAAGAGGGGCATTTGGAGTCTTGACCTTCTTAGCTTTTGTGGAGGTTTTTGTAAAGGATTTTCTTGGAGCTTTCGACCTTGGCTTGTGAACCATTTTAGTTAAATTTAAAAGGATTAATTTCCTTTCTGAAATCAACTCTTTTACAGAGTTTGAAACTCATTTAGAGTTTGAAACATGCATTACAAGTTCTCTTAAACACGTTCAGAGTTCTACCAAGTTCCACGAAGCGAGGTGTTTGGATCGTCAACGAGATACAAGATTCAAGCTCCCATCGACACGAAGAAGAACTCAGGTTTAAACAAAGGGGAGGGTCTCCGTTGATCCCTTCTCTCTTTTGTATATTGGGAAACCGATATAGAAGAGTTGTAATTTCTTTTTTTAAACCAGTTAGAGAGGGATTGCAAAGAGAGATTGTAATCATTCTTTTTCTAAATCAGTTGGAGAGATAAATACAAATTTTATTCTCATTTCTTCTTCAACTTTCCCACAAACAGTTACCAATGTCGGTCTCCACTTAAACCTCCGAAGTTATATGGTTCGAGGTGCTCTGGTAGAGTAGGAGATGTTTGGTCAGATGGAGCACATCCGAATTTCCTATCTCAAGCTCTTGGGGGTGGTTGAGTCTGTGAGAGCTGGCAGAGGGGTCAACTCGAGGCGGGCTGTTAAGACGCTAGTCCCAGAAGCCTCTGAGGTTGAGAAGCTCAGGTAGGAGCTAGAGGATAGCTGGAGGAAGGCTAGGGGACTTGGTGAGGCTCTCAAGGAGAGGGACCATGCTCAAGCGTAGGTTAAGATGGAGAAGCTGATGGCGATGCATGCGAAGCGTCAATTGGACGAGAAGCATGCATAGCTCGTCAAGCTTCAAGGGGAGGTCACCCATCTCAAGTCCGGGGCTCATTGTGAGGAGATCATCGAAGAATATCGCTAGAGCTTAACTAGAAAGATTGAATCGGCGATAGCTTGTAAGGCCAAGTATGA